GAGAAGCGGCGCAGGTGAGGGATGTGCTGGCCGCGGCTTCCCGCCGCCCCCATTGGCCCGGGACGGCGAACCGCGGCCAGTGGGGGCCGCGATCGGCCGAACCTGCCACGTCAGCAGGTAAATAAACTGGCCTGGCCCGCTAGGGTGCTTACCCTGGCGAGCCGCGTGCCAAACGTTGCCGACCCCTGTTCTAGGCACTGTACTTTCACCTGAAAGGATTTAATCAAGGAATCAAGTGTATTAGGTACCATATTGACTTTGACAAAGATGTTATCCTCTAGGGTTAGAAAGGGAACGGTAGTCCACATATCCTCAAAATTTGGGTCCTTGTACAGCATCATTGAGACAGAAAAATTCCCATCTTCTGTGTTCAGTGTAATGGTTCTGTAAACAACAGTTCAGATCAATCAAGCAATTAAAGTGGCATACACATTATCATGAGTGTATACAAAAGTAAAGCTAAAACATTTTTAACTGCCATGGTTGAAGTGTTTAATAAAGCCTGCACTACAGAGAAGCAGCAAGGCGCCTGGTGATCAGGCGTAACCAGTTAGATTACCTACACTCAATGGCTTGACTCACCATGGGGCAGACCCTGTCCCACACCCTTTGGCTGCTTAACATCATGACAGTAGTGCTGGTTGGAAAATCTTTGACGGAGCCATTTTCCATCAGAGAATGCATTTGACAATGTTGCAACATTCCATTTTGAGATTTTCAGAATGAAACATTTCAATTTTCCATTTGGAAATGACTTTTCATTTCATTTTGTATTGTATTATAATGGCAAATAAAAATAATGGCAAAATGAAAACCAAATGAAATGATTTTTTTTCAGAATTTTCTTTCACTGAGAATTTTGAAGAATTTATGGATTTCCTTCCTAATTAGAATGAAGACACAAAATCCTTCACAAAATGGAATTTGCTTTCTGCCATACAGCTCTACTTTCCAGTGATGCAAAACAGCTATAAAGCCGATGGATCTGACTCACTAAGGATTTCCCCTAGCCAGGGGAATCCCCAGATGAGCTGAGCTGCTATACTGGTTCCTATGCCACTATCCTTCTCCTCAGTGCAAGGGGTGTATCTGGAGGAAAGCGGGTAAGCCCCAATTATCTCTGACTGTCACAATGATTCTTTGGGGCCACTGATAGCCAGGCGTAAGTTTGAGCAGCCTCTGATCTTCTTCAGTTTATGACAGAATCTGGTCCATCCCATGGTTGTCTCCGGGATCGGGTTAGTATAGAAGTGATTTAAAGCTACCTTTGCATCTCCACTCCAATGGTCTTGCCCTGATAGGGTGACCAGATGTTCCAATTTTATAGGGACAGTCCCGATATTTGGGTCTTTTTCTTCTATAGGCACCTATTACCACCCACCCCTGCCCCAATTTTTAACACCATCTAGGCCCTGAAAACAGGTTAGTCAGATTTGGGGATCTGGGCCCATGTGCGTAGATTCCACAGTACTCTAGCTAAGACTCAAACCATGGCTATCATAGTATGAGCCAGGAAGGCCAAACCAATATGAGTTGTGAAAGTGTGTCTGAGCTAGAAATAATTCTTAGTGTCTCTTCCAGGGATTCCTCTATTTTTTCACGCTAGTGTTTCTGGATTTTTCCCTTTTGCCTTCAGAGGTCCTCTTGTTTCAGGAAACAGAATCAGTTATTTCAAAATAACCAAAAACAGGCTGAAAGAGAACATTAGTAAAAAAAGTATTCATTTACCTGGGCTGGTGCTGGGGCCCTGTACTGATGCTGCTGCTGTCTTTCAGAAGACACACAAAACGGAGGCCCTAAGTGTCGAGCCTCTAATGCAGCAAAACACTCATTACAAGCTCAAGTCCGACTGAAGTCAATGGGACTTGAACACAAGTTAAAAATTTGCTATATGTTTAAGTGCTTTGCTGAACTGGAGTCCTATCATGGTCATTTTTCACAAGAATAGGCTGTTAGCCCCAGTGTCCTGTCCAGTTTCCATCTCTAGTATTTAGGGGTGAAGTGATTAATCTAGGCCCAGATCCATTTACACGCTGGGGTTACCCTGACAGCTGGGAGTGTGTTTATGCATGCCAGCTGACTCAGTCATGCCTCCCATCTGTTGCTGGTACTTCCCCTATCTTGGCTGACATTGTGCCTTGTGGCCCCAGAATTCATTTCTTCTTCTCTGAGTTCTGGGCTGGGAGCAGATGGGTGACCAGCAGCAATCAGCTGTGCACCTTGATGTCAGTAGCATACTGAAGCAATGATTCAAGAGCTCCTCCATCGGTGAGGCCTAGATCGCCAAAATCCCAATTAATTTAGTAATGATTTGTATTACTGTAGTACCCAGAGGCTCCATTGTATGGACGTAAAGAAAGACAGCCCCAGCTCTGAAGAGCTTACTGTGTGAAACAGACAAGACAAAGGAAGTATTATTAGTCCCATATTTTAGTTTAACAGATGGGCAACTGAGGCACAGAGAGATTAAGTGATTTGCCTTATATCACCCAGGAAGTCCATTACAGAGCCTGGGACTGGACAGAAATCTCTGAGTCCCATCCAATCTCCTAGCCAAAAGAGCATCCTTCCTCTCAGTAAATGTGCCCCAGCCAATATTACTATATATTATGCAGCCTACAAAAGATTGGCTCTGGTTCTTCTGGATGAAACAAGCTATGTGAAACTAGACAAATGAGAAGTGTGTACACCTTCTGGCTTAATTTGCCTTTGTTCTCAATGGAGCTTTATGCAGGGCAATTTAATAGTACAAGCTAGAAAACAAAAACAAAAGGAGTTACCTGATGTCAACACTGATTTTATTCTCTCCGTTAGGCTGTTGTACCATGTAATTAACAGGGTATCGGCAAGCAAATGTGATATTGATAAAGGTCCTTGTAATTATATCAGAGAAGTTGCTTTGTATAGTGTTGATGAAAACAATGTGTGCACCATCAGAAGCCTGAAAGATAATACAAAATATAGAGAGTTGTTGCTATTTCTGTATAAAAAGCCTAATTTGCATAATATGCTGAACACTTAGGGATGCATGTATCACTGTACATTCTGGAACTCCATTAAAAGTAATTATTATTATTAGTTAATTAAGTTTATGGCACCGTACAAACAGATACCACTCGATAGCTCCTGCCCAGAAGACCTTACAATCTAAAGGTATGGTCCTGCCTTTGCATTCAGATATGGTAGTAGGTGTGTGGTAATGGATATGCAGGACTTGGAGACATGATTGTCATCATACAAGGAGACCCAGTAATAGACTTGTAAAAGACAAATGTGCAGATGGAGTCATGGCAAGCTGTGTATAGACATATGATAAAGAATGTTCATGGAGGTGGAGCGCTAGGCGTGTGTGAAGATATTGTAATGCCTGGAAGCAAACCAAGATTGTAAGCATGGGAGTGCATGTGCTCCCAGAGGCAAATTAATGAGCATGGAGGCTCCCATGCATTTTCCTAATACAATTCTGTTGATGTCTAAGGGGTTGCATGGGATTTGATTCATGGCAGAATTTGGCATTTTATTATTGCTGGGGCTTTCCAACCTAAACTGCATATGTACAGCAAATCTTTGCAATTGCCTGTAATAAGACCTGCTCAGATGCACCTCTGGCAATATGAGCTTTTTGATCAGTGACAGTTAAAATATAACTTCCCTGTCAGACATTAACACATTAAGCTTTAGTAATATTTTTACTAGTGAGCCCACATTACTAATATTAATAATTCAGACAACATGTATGATTGGTGTTAGTGCTACAATGTTCTAGGAACTCTTTGTGGCAGCATCAGTCTTGCTGAATGTCTGAGAGAATAACAAGAAACTACGACTGAGTAGCAGCAATGGAACATACAGAGAAAATACCAAATTCTTTGATTCAGAGTTAAACATTTGAGTTATTCTGCAGTTGTAATCTACCACAGCTGTAGCACACAGAGAAACAAACATGCTATTCAAAGGAAGTATTACAACTACTTCGCAACAACAACATCTTGTGCATATTACCATTCTAGTCCCACAGTCTGTGAAATTGGTTTTAATGCTGAATACGTAGAAGCTTCCTGTCTCAGTGCCATGGCATTCTGGGTCATTGAGGTGTAAATCAGAGATCTGGAATGAAATCATCATTTTTTGTACAGTTTATCACACTTTTAGCACCAGTTTATTTCCTCACTACCTAATCCATACAACATTCTGGGTTTTAAGACATAATGTTTCACCATCAAATAGTAAAACAAAGGGGAGACTTAATCTTAACTACTCAGAGTAAAAAAACAAAAACAACCCTCCCTCCCCTCCCCACAACCAGATGACCAGACTCTCTAGAAAAAAGAGCCTGATTCTGTTCTCACACCAACGTAGGTGAGATCAACATCAGGGTCTAAAATACTATGGGCCAAATTATGGCTCTGAGGACCCGTGGAGCACATGACTTTCAGCATGTTACAGTGTGACCGTGTAATGCTTTCAGGGTGCTGGGGGAGAGAGAGCTGAGCAGCAGCAGTTATTATATCTGTCCTAAAGGTGGGGCAAGTGTTCCCTCAGCATTGCTCTGCCGGCCCAGGGTCCCCATCCAGCGTTGTTCTGACAACACAGGGCCATGACCACAATCTCTCTGGGCTGTACAGCACTGCAGGAAGTCAGGCAGTAGCATTGTGGCTGTTTCCCACAATGTTGTACTGGAGAGCTGTGGAGGATCCGTTTCTTGTGTTTTCTCCTCTTTAATTTTCCACCCCTGTCCAGGGCAGGCATAACAAAACCCTGCGAGTTTGATTTAGATGACTCCAATATAAACTTTGCTCCTTTTTTGTTATTGCTTGTGCTGCCAACACTGCTTTCTAATGTAATGCCAGCATGCTTGACTTTTCATGGCAATTTGTGTTGTCAGCTGAAGGCAGGCGGGTAAGTCTCACAGGTCTCATAGCAGCTCCAGGAAAATGGTAGCAAAGAATACAGCAAGACATTACCATACATATCTTCTTTTCATACCTCCCCCATTCCAGTCACCAAGTAGACCAATCCATCAACAAGCAATAAAAAGCAACAAACGTGAACAGAGTTCTCGTAATAACTCAGCAAATTATGCAGTAAACTGAAAATATCTTAACTGCCATCAAATTTCCCCTCTAGTGTAGCTGAAAAATGCAAGCATTCTGCCTGAATAATGATGAAAGGGACTCTTTAAAATGGTAACCTGAATCTTAAGGAAATGTCTCTCATGCGATACAGGACATAATGTTAAGTACGTGATGGTTTATGTAAAAGCTTAACGGAACAGCTACATGACATATCCCTGTGCATAAACTGCATGCAAAGCAGAACTTCACTCTGTTAAAAATATTGATAGACACACAATAGGGCCAAGTGTTCATTTCAAGCTCTCGTTTCTGAGTGTTTGTGACATTTGATCGTAGGGCATGCCCCCACCAAAGTACACAGTGAATCAGCAATAAAACCCCTGGATTGCAAACAGTTGAAACCCCGAGAAAGAAATATGCTCTCTTGATAGAGGGAACAGTCAGAAACTCCTGCCAATCCCTCCTGACATTTCAGGAATCACAATTTGAAAAGAGAAATAATTGCTCTTTCTGGCAAGAGCCATACAGACAAACTTTCCACTTTTGTCTTCACTGGAGATGGGCTGTCTATACCTGCTGAGGATCTGGCTTATTATGCTTTATTAAGGCCCCTTAACTAAGTCAAATAAAATGTATTTAAAGGGACTTAATACTTGAATGCAATTTCACAAATTTTGGTCTAATCTGCACTGTCCCTTCCAAGCAGGTGCCTATCTGGACCATAGTGTCCACCCATGGGATATTACAACTTAATATCTGATTGAGTCAAGGGGGAAAAGTACTAGGAGGAATCAAGGAGAAAAAGGCTCATTGTTTCCTCTTGGTCACTGCTAGATTATATAGCTTATAGGGTCACATATGGTGCATGGGTGGATTGTGTTGACCTCAACAGTAGCCATGATGATAGAATTTGGACCATCATTTGTTGTCTATCCAAATTCAGGAGCTTGCAAAATATCATGAGGATATGAACTACAGGTATGAATAATAGTCACTGAGATCAGAGGAAACCATATTGCATACCGGAAAAAAAGTTACCATATGTGAACACAGTATTTTTTTTTAAAAAGCATCTGAGCTGTTTAACACATGAGAGTACTTACTAGGATTGGAGGGTTCTTTGTTAGAAAGAATTTACTTGGAATCTCCACCTCAATCAGGTCTTTGGTACAGATGATGGTTTCATTGATTTCTGTATAAACATTAAAGTTGCTGCATGTTAAAGGGCAAGGACTTTCACCATTAAATTAGATCAAACAAATTATCTACCTTGGTTTTTCTATATCACAGCAATGGGCATGAAACAAGTACCTTGGACATGAATGGCATGTTGCACAGATCTGAGTACCAAGTTGTATGCATTTAGTACTCTGAGTGGCAAAAATTAATTCTTCAAGGAATTTTTTTTTATATCAGTTACTTTCTAATAGCTACATCCTCATTTTACTGTTGCCCCCACCTGCATTTAAAGTACAATAAGAAATGTCTTTGCCTCTGTAAGGAATGTTATTTCTTCCTTTTCCTGTAGCTAAATGCTCCTAGCTGCCTTGCTGAGCTCTGCAAGTGGACAAGACTCCAGCTTATTTGTCCAGTTGGCATTCGTTGAAGTGGGATTTTTCCTCCAAAACTGTGGAGTATGTTGACACTGAAGCTTCATCTGGGTTGAGGATTTGTCAGCTACCTCAGTACAAATGGCTACGTTCCTAGTCTACACTAGTGGCTTGTGTTGGTGACAGCTAAATAACTAGAAAAGGATCCTAGAGAGAAAGGAGGAGCCATTTGTTAGGGTGCTGGCATGAAGCCTGAGTGATTTCTCTGGCCCACCACAAACTTCCTGTGTGATCCTTGGCAAGTCACAGTCTGTCTGCGGCTCAGTTCCCAATCTGTAAAATGGGGACAATAGCACTTCCCTACCTCACAAGGGCATTTTAACGCTAAGTATTTAAAGATTGTGAGGCACTCAGATACTGTGGTGATGGGGTCCGTATTAATATCACAGATAGTTATGGCCTCAGAGCAGGTTCATTGAAAGGCTTTTAAACCTGAGCAACTGAGCCTAGGCCAATTTATGGTTTCAATGCACAGTCAAATGAAACCTGGCAATTGCATCTGAGTTTTGTTTTAAGATTTTGGGTTCATTTACACCACTAATTGCATATGAATTGCTGTACAATGCATGATGCAGGGTAAAACTTTTATAGAGGCCAGGTGTAATCCTTATGAAAGATCTTATGATTTAGATATGTGGCTCTTATGTTTGCTTTCTAGTCTTGGAGATTAACTATTTCCCAAAGTGCTTTTCTTTAGACATATGTCGATATCATGGACAGGTACCATCTATTTCTCCACAGTGAATTGCTTAATGTAGTATGGTGGATGGAACATGAAGCTTGAAGGCATTTTATGTAAGTGAAGTAAAGCTATGTAGCCTGACCCAAGACTCTGCATCCAATATGTATTTAACAAAAAGCCTACTGCTTAAAGCTGAGTAATAGATTGCATGGTTGAAACTTCTTCAATGACAATACATACAAAGAACAAAAAAATGCTATAATAAAAATCAGGGAACAAGCACAGATGAGCAAAAATCAGAATTCCATCCCATCCCATCGGAAATTCTGATATTTTGCCATTCAAATCCTGACCAAAAAATCAAAATATTAAGGGGGGGGTGGGAGGAAGGATAGCTCAGTGGTTTGAGTATTGGCCTGCTAAACCCAGGGTTGTGAGTTCAAGCCTTGAGGGGGCCAGTTGGGGATCTGGGACAAAATCAGTACTTGGTCCTGCTAGTGAAGGCAGGGGGCTGGACTCAATGACCTTTCAAGGTCCCTTCCAGTTATAGGATATCTCCATTTATTATTATTATTATTATTATTATTATTATTTTGAAGAACAGAAAGTTCTGAAAAATTTCCATTCAGAAATGTCAAAACAAAATATTGACATTCCTTAAGCAAAACATTTTGTTTTGAATAAGTATGACATTAAACTGCCTTTGCCTAAGGTGCCATGGTGGCTCCCAGGGTTTGTAGTTCAGGCACTTCATACCCTCATTCTTTTCTATGGACTGGGCTCCTGGCTGGACTATATCTCCCATGATGCATTGTAGACCTGTGACTTCTATGATGCACCACACAGTTCAGTCATACAAGAGACTGTGGTACATAATGAGAGAGGTAGTCTGGCCAAAGAACCTGGCCCACAGGAGAGAATGGGAGCATGAAGCACCTGACCTACAACTCCCATGAGGCATGGTGTCAACTTAGGCAAATACAATTTAATGTCAAACTGACTTGAAACAAAATGTTTTGATTAAATTTAACAAACTGAAATAATTCAATTAAGGTTGAAACTTCCCAAAATGAAATTTTATTTCCATTTTCCCAACGGAAAAATGAAAGATTTCAGCAAAATTGAAATTTTCCCTTGTAAAGTTTTGATTTTGCAGAAAGTAAATTTTCCATTGAAAATGATTTTGACAGGAAATTCCTGACCAGCTCTAGGAACAAGACTATGGTTGCAACTCAGTTATCAGTTTACATAGTTATGCCCAGGGACTTCAGGAAACACAGCATGATGTGTGTGGTTTTGCATGCCATATGGTACAAGGCATAGACAAGTTGAACATCTATTAGTTTTATTTTTAAGACAAAATTCTCCTCTTTGTGCCACACTATGATTCTCTTATCCAACGTGCAGATTTCTTTTGTATACTCTGCATTGCTCTAGGTACAGAATCAGTATAAAATATGCTTTAGAGAGCCATACTTTGAATTGGATAGGAACATTTTGCTTTTAGTGTTAGTGTAATATACATTCCTTTTGGAAAAATAATCTGCCATTTGTAGAGACACTTACATAGTATACATTTTGTTGTGCATTCATGCCAGTCTTTGTATTATACTGGAGAATCTTTAGAATGCAAATTATTAATACAACAGATAGTAATGTCCCAGTGAGTCAAAGCTTACTTTGGAACCTTTAATCCATGGTTTCTGGTTGTTGTAAATCGTCATTTCTCTATCAAAACCTCTCATGTTAAGACTTAATTTAGCAATTCCCTCATTCACAGATCACTGGACCAATAAGCCACAAAGGTCATGTCAGAGTTCTTAAGGATCATTTAAATAATAAACCAACACAACTTCTTTCCCTCTGGTACTAAAAGGGACACAACAAATCTTTTATACATGATGGCAAAAGACCTGCCGCACTACAACATTTCTATTATTTTTGCTTTTTCTTTAACAGAACCTTTTTTTTTTAATTATACAGTAAATTTTCTGTGGGCTTGAGAAATTTTCATCTTGGATTAATTTTCAGGGACAAAAGTCCTCCTTTCTCTCTCTCTCTCTCTCTCTCTCTCTCTCTACACACACACACACACACACACACACACACACACACACACACACACACACA